TCCACACTGCCTTTATGAGTTGTAACACTCATCACGAAAGTCTGCAGCTTCACTCCTGAAGCCAATGAGACCAAGAACCCACCGGGAAGAACAAACAACTCCAGATGTGCCGCCATTAAGAGCTGTGACACTCACCGCAAAGGTCTGCAGCTTCACTCCTGTCTGCAAAACCATGAACCCACCAGAAGGAAGAAGCTCTAGACACATCTGAACCTCTGAAGGAACAAACTCCGGACACACCATCTTTAAGAACTGTAGGCCGGGCGCGGTGGCTCACGCCTGTAATCCCAGCACTTTGGGAGGCCGAGATGGGCGGATCACGAGGTCAGGAGATAGAGACCATCCTGACTAACATGGTGAAACCCCGTCTCTACTAAAAAAAAAAAATACAAAAATTAGCCGGGCGCGGTGGCGGGCGCCTGTAGTCCCAGCCACACGGGAGGCTGAGGCAGGAGAATGGCGTGAACCCGGGAGGCGGAGCTTGCAGTGAGTGGAGATCGCGCCACTGCACTCCAGCCTGGGAAACAGAGCAAAGACCCCGCCTCAAAAAAAAAAAAAGAACTGTAACACTCACTGTGAGGGTCCACGACTTCATTCTTGAAGTCAGTGAGACCAAGAACCCACCAATTCTGGACACATATTGATAAAGAAAAGGCAATGAAGGGGGAAATCCAAAATACACATTTGAGAAGGTATTAGGAAACTTTTATCCTCAGCATTGCGTAAATAATTTCAACAAGACCCAAGAAAATGACATTCAAAGGAACACAGCTAGAGAAAGGATACTAGGATAAGAGGCAACAAAACCACCTTTCAAAAATCTGATTCAATGGTCACAGAATATACATAAAAAACGTGTTAAACTTAACACAAATATCTACTTTACTTACCCTGCTAAAAAGTAGGTGAGACAACACACATACCAGTTGCATGAGACAAATTAAATAAAATGGTGTTAGTGAAATACAAATAACTGACATGGTTAGTCAGTAACAGAAATTAGTCCATATTTTATCTTCTAGATTCTGGAGTCAGACTTTGTGGGTTCGACAAACTGGTGCTGTACTTCCTATGACAGTGGGCCAGCTACTTAAACTCCCTAATCCTAACTGCCCTCTTTTGTAAAATGGGAATAATACAAATTACTAGTGTAGTTAGGAGAATTAAATGACATAAAATTAAAATTAATCGCTATGTATTTCAAACAAAAATATGCGCAAAATATTTGGAGGACTATGAAATGTTTGGAATAGTGTTTGACACATAAGGCTTCTCAGTAAATATTTATGATAATAATTATTATTGAACCATCCATTAATCTTTATTAAACAGATCTATCTTCTGCCATCAAATACCTTAGAAATTCAATCAGACTTAGAGTACAATATGGTTTACATATATATACATACACAATCATTTTTTGAATTAGTGACTACTTAGAAAAGTTTATATCATTAAAAACTAAAACTATTCTTCAGAAAGTTCTTAGTAAGATCTTAGCATTCATTATATTGACAGAGAAATAAAGTCTTTAAAGTGAGCTAAAACACTGAGTATAAAAGCAATGAGAAAAATTATATTTACTTTTGGTTCAAAAATTTGTTAAGGTTTCAAAAACTATATTTTAGTTGAGGTACAGTTTACACATAGTAGAATGCACAGAATTTAAATGAATATTTTTATGCATTTTTACTTGACATGTCAGAGTTGTACATATACTGGGGTAAATGAGATATTTTCATACATATATACAATGCATAATTATCAAATCAGGGTTATTGGGATATCTATCACCACAAACATTTATCTTTTCTTTATGTTAGAAACATTACAATTCTTCACTTCTAGTTATTTTGAAATATAAAACAAGTCACAATTTCTACAATTATATTTAGTTATAATTAACGATATCTAAAATTCACTAACTGTACTATTGAATACTAGAACTTATTGCTTCTATCTAACGGTATTTCCATACTCATTAACCAACTTCTCTTCCCTTCCGTGCCTCTGGTAACCATCATTCTACTCTCTGCCTCTATATGATCCATGTCTTTAGCTCCCATTACATATGAGTGAGAACATACAATATTTGTTTTTCTATGCCTGGCCTATTTCACTTAATATAATCACCTACAGTTCCATCCATGCTCTGCAAATGATGAGATTTCATTCTTTTTATGGTTTAATAATATTCATATATATATACACACACACACACACACACACACACACACACATATACACCAAATTCTCTTCATTCACTTAGTGATGGACACTTAGGTTGATTTCGTATCTTGGCTACTGTGAGCATGTGAGTCTGATACCTCTTTCCTTTCTTTTGGACATATAGCCAGCAGTGGGATTCTTGGATCATACGGTAGTTCTATTTTTAGATTTTTCAAGGAATGTCCACAGTTTTCCATAATGGTTATGCTACTTTACACTCCTATCAACAGTCTATGAGTATTTCCCTTTCTCCAAATCCTCACTAACATTTGTTACTTTTTGTTTTTTTTTAAATTCTAGTTGGAGTGAGATGATATCTCATTGTGGTTTTATTTGCATTTCCCTGATGATTAGTACTGTTGAGCTTTTTTTTTTTTTTTTTTCCTTTTTTTCATATGCCTGCTAGCCATTTGTATGTCTTTTTTTGAGAAATATCTATCAGGTATTTTGCCCCTTTTTAATTCAGATTGTTTGTTTTCTTGGTATTGAGTTGTTTGAGTTCTTTATATATTCCGGTTTTGTCAGATAGCTAGTTTGCAAATATTTTCTTCCCTTTTGTGGGTTTTCTCTTCACTTCGCTAATTGTTTCCTTTCCTGTGCAGAAGCGTTTTGCCTTGATATATTCTCATTTGTCTATTTTTGCTTTCATTCCTTGAGTTTTTAAGGTCTTACCCAAAAGAATCTTTGTCCAGGCCAATGTCCTACAGCACTTCTCCAGTTTTCTTCTAGTAGTTGCAAAGCTTGAGATCTTACATTTAAGATTTTAATACATTTTAATTTGATTTTTGTATATGATAAAAAAATGAAATATAGTTTTGTTCTTTTGCATATGGATATCCAGTTTTCCTGGCATCAATTATTAAATATACTGTCCTTTGGCCAACGCAAAACTCCTTAGCAAAATACAAGCAAACAGAATTCAACAACATAAACCTGCCAAACACTAGTTATTGTTGTTGTATTATTGCTATTTTTCTTATTATTATTTTAAAGTATCTTAACTGTCAGAACATCTGGGTTTGAATTATGGCTTTAGCATATGCTCTTTCTTCAGTCTTGGTCAAGCTACTTCACCACTCTAATGTTTTGTATTCTTATCTATAAAGTATGTGAAAATTGTAACTGCTTCATGGAGCTATTGTGAAAATTAAATAAGAATATATACATCATTTTTTCTGCACTTACTGATATCCTCCAAACAACTGAATTCAATTAAACTCACTTTCCACATTGCTTCCTATTGTTAAACGCTAAGACTTCACCTTGTTTCCCCAGAATCTTTGACATCTCTTGTTAAATAACATCCTAATGCCTCTACATTCAGTTATCCTCTGCTTATTCAATTCAAATGCATTTTTCAAGTACTTCCTTTTCTGTAAATTATTTTCAGGGACCTGCAACCTACTATGGTCAGTTCCTTGATCTTGGAACGCCTACAAAAAGCATCATACATTGTAACACTTTGCTCTTTTTCAATTAATCAATATAGCTTACTTTTTTCTCCTCGACAACAGTGAAAACGAGTTTTTTGGTTTTTGAGATGGAGTCTCGCTCTGTCACCCAGGCTGGAGTGCAGTGGCACGATCTTGTCTCACTGCAACCTCCGCCTCCCAGGTTCACACCATTCTCCTGCCTCAGCCTCCCGAGTAGCTGGGACTACAGGCACCCGCCAACACGCCCAGCTAATTTTTTATTTTTATACTTTTAGTAGAGATGGGGTTTCACCATGTTAGCCAGGATGGTCTCGATCTCCTGACCTTGTGATCCACCGCCCCCTTGGCCTCCCAGAATGCTGGGATTACAGGTGTGAGCCACTGCACCCGGCCGAAAATGACTTTTTAAAAAAATCCAACAGAGCTTTTAAGCGAGTTTACATTTGGTAGTCAACTGAAAATTTGCTTACTAGATACACCATGTCAAACATCAAATTCAATTAGATTGTATAATATTTTTAGACTATGTCATTAGATGTCAGTACTTTGTTAAAAATTGTTTAAATTATATGTATATACAATATTTTATTAAAGTTATTTCTCTTTACCAAGACGTTTCTACCTATCTCTAATTTCCTTTGTGACTTTGACTACAGAAATGATAAAAATATTAAATGAGCTATCAAATGGAATACATGTAATAAACCAGTGTGAACATTAAAATATGGGAATGATTTATGTTCCTTCTACACATTTGTCACCAGTGATATAGAAGACTTTCCACAGACAGAAGAGCTTAGAGCAGTGTTCCTCGAGCTTGGTTGCATATTGAAATCACCTGAAGTGCTCTAACAATACCAATACCAGAATTCCAAATTCAGAGACCCCTATGTAATAGGATTGGCATACGACTTGGCAATAGGATATTTAAAAGTTAGCCAGATGATTTTCATAAGCAATGAGGAATGAAAAATACTGGTTAAGGACTACTCTCCATTTAGAATCCTCCCCAGTTCACTTTTCTTTCACTTTGCTTTAGAAACTTGCTGCCTGCCTGGATGAATTTAAAGCCATTCATCTAAGCACTCTTTTGCTGTCACCAACAGCATCTTTGGCACATATATGCAAGTAAGGATTATAAAGTGGTTTTATTTTCAAAACTGTTTTCTGAAAGTATCTTTCTGTAATTTTGGTAGGCAGTAATATTACTCACATATATTAGACATAAGATAATAACTAAAATATTAGCCTGGCAAGAGAGGAAAGAAGGGAAAAGAAAAGAAAAACAGATAGGTACATTAACTATAAATGAGAGCTACAGTTTCAAGTTATATGTACCTGATTGATGGCTCCCAGATCATCAGCAAAGCCATTTACTTCTGATAGAAGCAGAGATATAATAGATTTTCTCAACAAGCGGCAGCTTCCCAGGGTTACCAGACTCTGAGAGACATAACGCTGCACCTGAAACTAAAGATAAAAATGAGTAAGTTTCCGTATTCCATCAAGTCAAATCAAAATGTATTTTCTAAGACGTTACTACTGAGCTAAATGCTGTGAGGAGTATAAAAAGTATCAACGTAATTCTGGGTCAGTCTCAAGCACAATCATAAAGTACAAAAATTATAATATTATAGGCTCTAAGATTTTCTATAGCAGTTAATATTTTGAAACATGAAACAGGGTGCTAAAATGGAAGCTTTAGTTGAAGTAGCAAAAGATAATAGTTTAGATAATAGGCTATATACAAAATGAATAAAGGAGATGATAAATCAAGATATTTAAGCTCTTACCTTTTAGATAGATTAGCTAGATAAATGATAGATAGGTCATCTATCATCCTTTTTGGTACCAGGGACCAGTTTTGTGGAAGACAATTTTTCCATGGAAGGGGGGCAGGGTGAATCGTTTTGAGATGAAACTGTTCCATGTCAGATTATCACTCACAAGATTCTCATAAGGAGTGTGCAACCTAGATCCCTCACATGCACAGTTCACAATAGGGTTTGCACTTCTATGAGAATCTAATGCCACATCTGATCTGACAGGAGGGGAAGCTCAGGAGGTAACGCTAGCTCCCCTGCTGCTCACTTCCTGCTATGTGGCCTGGTTTCTAACAGGCCATGGACCAATACTGGTCCGCGGCCTGGTGGCTGGGGATCCCTGGATTATAGAGTTGAAGAGAAACGTCTATTAAGTTAGATAGTGAAAATGCTTACCATAGTGACAGGCACCTAGTAAGTGCTCAATAAGTGAAATGTTATAATTTAGGATGACAATACAAGAGCATTCATGGCTATATAACATGAATTTAGTTCACTGAACCTTGAAAAGTTAAATACTATAAATAAAATATATTTTTCCAGAGTTAATATAATCCTATTGGAGAAGATTGCTGAGAAGAGAATTTCATCATAAAGAGCTATTCCATAGTATATCTAAGAACTGTTTCTCCCCGACATGACCGAAGTTCATACAAAGACTATATAACCATTAATGTGGTTCAAAATTACATGAATATTATTAAAACAATCTCTATTCTTCCTTATATTTTAATTGACACTTACCCTTTTGTAAATACAGTGGAATTTTTTCGAAAGGCTGACATGGAAACCAAGACTGACAACAATATTATACGTGAGGCTACTGTGGACCAAATCATGGGAGGACACACTCAACGCACATGATAATCTTTTTCTTTCACATCTTTCTGTATTTCACAAGCTGGGGAACTAGAAGTAATTCTTCCCAGATTACTCTGCAGTTAGGATTTTGGATGTGAGTTCTGCCAATTAAAAGTACTCATTTGAGCCCTTGATTTAGAAATGCACTACCAAGGAAAAGAAGTAGGTACAGTACAGGGCACATATTTTGTTGCTACAGATAGCAGCTGAGGTGTCAGAGTTCTGGCTCATCCCACAGCTGTTTCAGAGTTACCTAATTATATAGGTTATTATTATTATTATTCTGAGACGGAGTCTTGCTCTGTCGCCCAGGCTGGAGTGCAGTGGCGCGATCACCGCTCACTGCAAGCTCCGCCTCCCGGGTTCACGCCATTCTCCTGCCTCAGCCTCCCAATGTAGCTGAGACTATAAGCGCCAGCAACCACACCCGGCTAATTTTTTGTATTTTTAGTAGAGACGGGGTTTCACCATGTTAGCCAGGATGGTCTCAATCTCCTAACCTCGTGATCCGCCCGCCTCGGCCTCCCAAAGTGCTGGGATTACAGGCGTGAGCCACCGCGCAGGGCCTATGCAGGTTCTTTTAATCACAATAGAAGTAGCAGCTACCTTGGTTGCCCAGTGGTTTAGGGAATTATTCCTGTAAATGTAGCATTCCCAAAGGTATTTTGACCTATATGTTTACCTAGAGGATTCACAAACCTTAGTGCCACATTAGTCTTGAAATATGAATGAAATGGGTAGAAATTCTTATCATTTTCCTAATTAATTTCCCTACATTAACTGTGCAGAAGATAGGAGAAACTTGGAGAAGAGCCGTGAATTATTATGAAGTTAATTAGGTATGTTTCCAATTACACAGTTCTGTTGTTCTAGAAGTAGTTATTTTCTGGAAGGATCAACACTGCCCCTGACACTCGTTAGGTAGAGCCCTGGATTCTTCAGAAGTTTGTGGGTCTAATGAATGTAGAAATACTCCCTCTAAAGTGAAAAAACAAGTTGCTTTAGTATGTATTTACTATCACTAAGAAAAAGATACAACGCTTGATAGGCCTTTGTGAATTCTGGAGACAACATATTACCATTTGGTTTATCACTTGGAAGCATATTTCAAGTAAATCATAAGGCTGTACACTTTGAGAAGGGGCCGGAGTAGTATATAAAGATCTCCAGCTGGTCTAAGTTGGGAAATAAGCAGCTCTGTCCTTTGGATATCATTATCAGGAAGATCCAATGTGCTTGGAGTTGATCAGAATATTATGTGGAGTCTGTAGCCTACTCTAATTAGAAAATCAAAAAGGAGGGACCCTGGGTATAGAACAAAGTCATATCTTTCTTGTCAAGTAAACATTATTCTCTATAGAAAATAAAAATTTACATATGTTATTTAACCCTGCCATAAACTGTGTCTGCCTGATTGTAGGACACCAAGTAAGTGCATATCCAGAACTACTCATTTGAATGAGGTGCTATATAAATTTAAGTATGCACAACAATACTCCATCAAGTAGCCATAGTATAAATAAAACTAGGATCAAGTGAAAACTAAAAGCAGAAGTGGGTGTTGTTTGATCACTCAGTACTTATAGTTCTAACTGGTAGACCTCCTCTTATAAGGTTGAGGTACTGTTCAATAGTAGGGAATTTATATTCCCAGCTAGTGGCCAATATATGATGCTCCTTCTCCCACATGAGTTTCAGGGTGGATGAATAAACTGCATGCACAGAGTATAGATTATAACTGAAGACACTCCTCTAACAGCATACCACAGCACTTAACCCTACTATAATGTTTTTTAAACAATTAATTTGAACCAAAGCTTAAAAATCAAATTTTAGATTATGCAAGAACTGGAGAGACACATACTGTGAGTAGCAGATCAAGATGATTCAAATAAACTCTCTAAACTAAAACAATGAGTCCCAAATAAGTAAAATGCAATAAAGACATATATATGTTATGTCTATTTAAATTCCTATAACCTGTTGAAAACAAGAATCAAAATTATAGATATTTAAAACATCTCCTACCTACTAAGCACTTATCCAGATTTAAGCTAAAGATAATTAATATCCAAAAGCCACAAGAAGGGATGGTGGGCACCTTCACAAAGGTCCTTGTATTTCCTATGAAAGTATCTCCTGTGGGCTTGGAGATGGGGCAGGCAGTGATTTCTGTTAGACTGTAATGTGGGAAATGACTTGTTCACACCAATGTGATTCTTTTGAGAATCTGGAAAGCTGTGGGGCCCTCCCTAACAACCTTTATTAACAGCCATCTGTAAGTATGTAGAGCAAATTGTGCCTATTTATGACCAACTTCTCAAAGGCACCTGCTTAATAAACAGAATTTCATTTCCTTATCATTGGGGAGTGGATGATATTTGAATAGATGTAAAAAAATAAGAAGAAGAACATAATATTTTGTGAGGTCAAAAGAATGTGGGGGGCTGTAGAAACCATATCCCTTCTGATTTTATAAAAATCATTTTTATTATTGAGTCACTGACATTTGTTTAAAGATGTACACACATTGCTAATATCAGATACATCAAATTATAAGAGAATAACGAAAAAAGATGAGTGCCACAAGCTCACAACTGAATTCTGTAAAATAAAATTTAACAAAAAAAGTTGAGATCAAAGGTACATAATTATCACTGAAAAAGTGAACAAGTGATAGAGATTGATTATATGGAAGGACTATCTATGGATGCATGTTAGAATGAGGAACGATTCTTTTTCTATGATATCTATTTGTACAGCCCTACTAATGAAAGAAATAAAATTAAACCAACTAATTATGTCTATTGGAACAATGTGAACTAAGAATTTAGGCGAAAGACTTGGTATACTACATCAAGTATCCCAATAACAATGATAATAACATTCCCTTTCTTTTCTTAATGTGAAGAAACTGAGAATCAGGAACATTAAAGTCACTTGTAAGGGGTAGAGTCCAAAGTTAGACCTAGATCTTTTTTTTTTACTTGAATTTCTAATATATTTGATGCTTATAAAGTAAAACATAAAGAACTTACAGGATAAAACAGCAATAAATGAGAATATAATAATATCAATATTTATATAAGACAATTTATTAAGCATCTACTTTGCATTATGTACAGTACTTACTGCTTACATATACTGTATCATTTAATCCTAACCATGAGACTATGAGAAAGTTTAATCTCAAACTAAATACTAAGGAGCCATACTTTAAAGAGAGTAAGTTAACTTGTTCAAAGTTAGATTAAAAATAGACATAAGAATACATGTAGTGACTTTGGGAGGCCAGGCAGGTGGATCACCTGAGGTCAGAAGTTCCAGACCAGCCTGGCCAACATGGTGAAACCCCATCTCTACTAAAAATACAAAAATTAGTTGGGCATGGTGGTGCATACCTGTAATCCCAGCTACTCGGGAGGCCGAGGCAGGAGAATAGCTTTAACCCAGGAGGTGGAGGTTGCAGTGTGCCGAGCTCATGCCACTTCACTCCAGCCTGGGCAACAGTGCAAAACTCCATCCAAAAAAAAAAAAAGACTTGTGCTGTTTATCAACCCATTGCATACCCAAATGTATCATATCTCAAATTCTCTTAAGGGATAAAAACTTTGAGAGGTCATATGGGATCCATAAAAAGTGCTGAACCACTTGCCAGATTTAAAAAATTACTAATTACTACTCTGAATTAAGAAAACACAACTATTACACTGCACCATCAACCTCTGTAACAGGCCAGCACTGTAAGCAAGCTGGACAGTAAGACAAAGAGACACAGAGACCCAG